CGGTATCGGATGTGCAGCAGAGCAATTGATTAGGCGCGAAAGAGCTGTAATAGACCGGGATAACTGGCCAAGTGCCGTAATCCAGATCTCTTGACCTACACCGCAGTCACCCCGTTTTTTTAACTAGGTGTGAATACATTGAATTATAGCGTATGGCAGAGTTGTGGGCATGTTTTTGGAGAGATTTTGTTTTTTTCGTAGGGGGTTATTTTCAGGTGCTTAACGTCTCTTCAGAAGAAGGCCTCAGATTCCAGCTGGATATGGATGAATAGAGAATCTTTGATCTACACATAAAATTTCACAATATTCAGAGAAGTTCAAAAACTCGATGCTCCTGAAAAAAAACGAAGCAAAATAAATTTCTGTGTTTATGGTCAATTATAGAGCTGCCATGTACCAGTAGGCCTTTCTTTACATTTCCACAGACCACAAATGCACCAAAAATTTCCTAAGCAATGTTCAGAATTGCGACATCACACAGGGAAATAAGCGAATAGGCGGATTGGCGAACGGACAAGAAAAGTGTACGTATTGATTGATCAGCGAGTAAGGCAAGTAGGCGAGTAGACGATAGCTTGTAACGACGGTGTAATAATACAAGCCGGTATCAATACAATATTAGTCGCGTTGTCGCCTAAACGCGTTTTCGCCTATTCGAAAAGTATGTTTTCCTTCTAGCCTAATCACCTAATCGCTTGTAAACAATGCCTCACCTTTCGTTGGTTCTGAAGAAGGAGTCCACCCTACCATTCCCAACGCGTTGATCGGTTCTTCAGTGATATCCTGAAATGTTTACTGGAAGTTTACGATAGAAATCGTTCGAAAATTCTATTTTATTTTTTGTTTCTATATTCAGACCGTATCGCATTCGGCAAGCTTAGAATGAAATTAAACAGGCTCGTCTTCCCTCTACAGAAGCGATGGGCGAGTTCTTACACTCCTCTCCGTTTTTGACTCGTTTAGGAAGGTTAAGGAACGGTATACGACAATTTCAATATCACTTCCGCTTCATTTGAGTCGCACTGTCGTCATTTCACAAAAAGTAGTACACTAACTTTTCAATCAACGCTAAAAGCTTTCCCTTATAACTATATCCTACTTATGACTGGAAAATCAACCTAAGCGCTTTCCACTCATTTAGTAGTTATCCAATCATTTGCTTTTGATTTTCACCATTTTGGGAAAATGTGTTCGAGTTTTTTCGTCAATAAAGGACCGCTACATAACGGTACGGTATTTTCAAACAGGTTCTGACATTAACATATAAATGATTGACTCACGCGGAAAGGTATCCGGGCATCGTTCAGACGTTCCAGATGGTTGAAAGCAGACGATATGTAAGGCATGCTCTTCCCGCTCAAAGTCCATCGACCTGAACTCAATTAAAGGTTACGCAACTCTCTGTTTTCATAACAATCAAAACGTCTCTGGGCTGGGGACACGCAGAGCTTTGATTGAGCCATGAAATCGTTTTTTGCTTACAAGAGGGTTTGTCAACCATGGAGCATTTTTCAAAAATGGATTTTGATGGCTGTAAAGGCGAAGCAACAGAAACCCTAACCATTTTTTCCTAAACGCCTCCCAAATCACAACAGTGGGTGAGAAAAATGGTTCAAGTTCGTATCCACGGTTGATGACTTAGTTTTTGCAGTATACTTTGGTGCCTCAGATTGAAAGGCCAAAAAACACTGCCGTCGTCGAGAATAGGTGTCACTATCGTGTTTTGCGGCAATTTGGAGGTGCCAACATAAATTGCAAAAATTTGTCACCACGTGGATCGAACGTTGGGTCCCTTTTTCCCCGCTGTGTCGTATTTCTGGGGGCATTCAAGAAAAATGGAACCAGTTGTTCTGTGTTCCTCACATGGCCTATACAAAATTCAGGATGCCATTTAGAAACGCTCCATGTCCTCAAAGGCCTTGTCAGAATTGTGGACACATTTGTATTTTGGCAGTGCCACTGTGCTATAGTGAAGCTTCTAATGTCTGAATCAGTGTTCCTTTATTACTCTGGAAGTTTAGCGTCTAGTAGTCCTGTACGAACGAAAACTTCGCTGAAATCTGGATGGGTCTCTCCCCATATACCGTTTTTCTTCTCCACGCCACTGTACCGCGCCTTAGCTCCATTTTATTGTTATTATACCGTTATTCCACACCGTAAATGATATTGATTGTATTATTATCATTATCTATTATAATTATTTATATATGAATCTTATAATGCTCTTAACTTCTCCACCCTAATATTGCTTAAATGCATAGTTCCGGCAGGGAAGGGCAGGGAATACATTCCTTCGCGAGCGAGTACGCAAATATCATTAATGTAGGTTAAAGAATCAGTCGCCAGAGAGCAATAGCTACAGCTTGGCGCCGTTCAGACGTCGATGCCAGACGCGGCGGTTTGGCTAGCAGCGAATTTCTCAGCGCTCGCGTCCCGGTTGCCGGTTACCAGCCAATCGAGCGATTCCGCTGGACGCGAACGCGATCTTTGAAGTCTAACCGGCCTTACTTAAAGCGCGGGTAATGGGAGTTGAGCCCACGCACCATAACTGGAAAGTCCCAAAACCAACCAAACCTCCCGTCATCGGAGCTAGAGAATTGGTAATAGATTTATTTGAGAAACCGAAAACCCCAATGTACATGAGCTGGCCTCAAAGGGTAATTGTGTTTCCGTCAGGGGGATCGTAAAGCATCACACCGCCCGGTACATCTCGCCCTTGAGCGCCTTGGAACACTGTCACTCACACAGGATTCCACTGGTCTCGCTCTTTTTTATCCATGCAGCGTTGATGCGACTCCTCACTGTTTGACCGGCACTCGTTCAGTCCACATCGCTCTCTATGTATAAGAATTCTTCTTTCTTTCTATGCATTGACTGGCTATCTGCCCCTGTTTGGAGCTTAGGAATTCGGTTCCTTTGACACTCAGCCGGAGCCCACATTTCGTTGCCACTTCGTGCCATTTTTACACTCCCCCTGAAGTTCTTCCTTGTTTATCCGGTACTAGAGCGATCTTTTCAACGTCAAGGATGATCTTCAGTGGTCTCTCCACGATGCCCTACACTGTGGCCCTGATTGCACTTGGGATTAGGCTCAATTAATTCCTTACGCAAAAATAAAACTAGATTCTTTTCAATCTCACGGCTGGTCAAACAAAAAAAACAGTAAGCGGATCTCAGCAGTCGACTTTACCACGGCATCAAGGTCTTAGGAGGGCAACTACGTAATCTATCCTTCATCATTAATGGAAAATGATGTTTCTTACATTTGCCACAGTTGGGTACACTTGTTTTTACCCTGCAGACCTCCACGCGGGTGAAAATAGCCTAGAGAGGGCTGAAAGAGAAAAGGTTCGTCGTTTTGAATCATCTAGAATACTTCCAAACACCCCTGTTTGCTGTTACTGTGTCAACTCGGTCCCTAAGAGGCTATGAGTGCGGCAAAACAACTAAATCACGTCTAATAGCCGTCAGTTCTGCAAGTGCCTACGTCGTGACCACACATGACTGGATGATATTCCGCAACTAAGGATGTCTTTCAGGTCGTCATCTCTTTTCAAAACGGTCTTCGCATGATGTAGAGACAAGTGCATAAAAATAGAATTACGCTTCACTTCCTGAGCTGCCCTCTGAAAAAAAAGAAGGAAAAATCGACTCATATGCTTTTCCCTGAGTTCATCGTCATAGTTCGACCTGCATGATGTCGTGAGGTGTTACCCGCTGCTAGTGATGACCTTTTACCGATCATCAGTGCACCGTGTGAGAAGGTTTCAACAGGAACCGGGGTCATACAGGTGTGGCGCTTGAGCTTTTGAAATCCGTTTCTTGCTTCCGGAGCCCGCTCAGGGGAAGTGAGCCTTAGTTCTGTTCTCCTGCTCTGATACGATAAAGAAAGCCGTTTTTTAAAAAACAGAGCACGGACTCCCCCTCCTTGGTAAGATCCATCTAAGGACTAGACCTTGAGCTTGCGGAATGGTAATGTAATGCGGAGAAATAGTTACTGTCAAAAACTAGAAAGATTGGTGGCAATATGATAGTCGCCACAAAGGAAACGCATAGTATCAGTGCTGCGTTATCTTACACCTTTGAACCCCTTCTGGGCCCGACCCAAGCATGAGATGTAGGTCTTCAAGAACGATTTTGGGTGAGGACAACTTCATGGCTCATACTGAATGAGATCGGTCGAGTTACTTACCTTCTAGATCAAGAAACTTCAATCGATCGGGTCCTTTTCCTCTAATAATGGAATCCATTTTAAAATATCTAATGTCGTCCGTGTTGAGACCGAAATCCGGCAGTGCTGTCATTGGCGGCATCTCCTCCTACAAAAATCGATTATCGATTACAAGAATCTGATAGCGAGAGATATCAGCTAGAAAGACATGAAGAATAGTACGGTAGAAAGTGGCACGACCTCTGTGGCCTTCATGCTTACTGAAGCGATTAATTTATGGTGCGTAATAAAATCAAAAAATGGGTAAAAACGACCGGGAGCCGGGTGCTGTAGCGTTGACAGAGCGCAGCTTTCTGGCTCTACTGGAGTTGTTTAAATAGTGAATAGTTACCTCGGTGGGGTTGCGATGTGAGTGGCGTGACTCGCGTGGGGGAAAATTCTAAAAGCTGATTAGTAAGGAACGGAGTCGGAGAGTGCGAGGGAGTGACTGTGACTGAGCGAGATAGCGACAGTGAGAACCGGTTAACTCTCTCAAACCTCACGAACACCTCACGTCCGCATATTGTCGTCAAATAAAGGACTTCGTGAATCACGTCCGGTGATGGATATGGAAAATTTCGCCCACTGCAATCCACTTCGGGGTTGACAGGCATTTATAGACGTTATAACTCTGCATGTACCCGAAAATGTGCACCAGTTTTATAACCTGGGTTACCATGCGTTCAAAGTTCACACCCCATTACCGTTAATTGATCAAAGTACGGTAGAGAAAATTGGAACCCGGAATATCGCCCACAGAACTGAGAGTAGGTGGAGCGCCGGGGTTCTGTGTAGTTACACGGCCGGCACCTTGTCGAAAATGATTGGCTGGTTGGTAACTCATTATAGATTTACCTTAGGGTTTATCGACCGCAAGAGCCATTGTTCCTTCGAGACCCGTATTTCCTCGATATTTTTTGCCCAGTTCCGCTCGTGCCGCATACTTACTGCAAAAAAGGCGAGGGCGGAAGTGCGGTGCACAAGTGCGATTGACGGGGCCACTTCTCTCACCTTAGAAAACCTTTTGTCCGGATGGGGTCTGTCAATAGACTTTCTGTCGTTTTGTTTAACCGACGTTTGTCGTCGTCACCATAAACGATGATTGGCGCATTTGGGCCCATCATTCTGAGGGCTGTAGAAATAAATCATAGCCGATTGGAGCGATTAGAGCATTTTCATCCCAGTCTGGACTGTTTTTTGATCATCTCTTGGGCCATTTATTCATCAAATGTCACACTAATTGAGTAGCAGCTCATTGTGAGCGGCGTCATTATGCAGATGTCCGTGGATGATTGTCCAGTTTTGAAAGTTCTGGCTTTAAAAGACAAATTCTTCTATCGACTCACTGAAAGAATCCACCCTACCTGTAGGGTAGAATAGAGGGTGAGCAACGTTTGTGCACGATTGCGGCTTAAAGCGAGAAATTACGATAAAATTTCTGTGCAGCATGGAAGAACGAGCAGCACTTCAAGCAGTAGCTAGAGCCCAAAGGAATCGAGATGTGGCCTTTTTGTGACTAAAGGTGCGCTCGTTGCAGCGCCCTGGGGCTGCCAATCCTTTCTGAGCTCCGCCTCCGCCTGTGCTCCGCCCCTCAGCAGATCGCTGTTCGATTATCATTCTGATAAGGTATGCCACTTCGAGCGCGTATCCAATTTTTTTCTCATGGAATGCTATATCAATCAAGGTATGATCTCTGGTGGTATGATGGCAGCTATGGTTTAACGAGTGCCGACGACCTCTTAGTTGGTTGCCAACTCGTCCATTATCGGAGGTCAACGGGCAGAGGAAGTGGTCCCATTTTGCGCGTTTTTGACGGATTTCTTTGCTTTTTTCGCTACTAGGGCATTATTCAGCATCTTCACTTCCACTATGAGCACAACAGAATCCTATCGCAATCTCTCGCTTTAAGAGGGACGGCAAAGGGGTTAAGGGCTTGTATGCCCGCTTATAGTGCCCGAGTGACTCCATCGCTCTACCGTAACTCCGCCCTGAAGTTAACGCCACTGTCTGCGTATCCCTCTTATCCATGCTCCCTCGATGGCCCTTTCCAGTACTCAGTGTTCCTTCGCCTTCAACCCTGTTCAAGCCTAAAAAACTTGGAACAGGCTTCTCTACTGAGTTTCCAGTCGCGTTTTTTGTCTTTTCTCCGTATTCCGCCAAGTAAATAAAAAACTAAAATCAAAATCACCAATTAATATCATCAAATCGATTAGCATGTTCTATCCATTGCTGATGTGCGCCACGCACACCACCTTCATGAATTACAACGTTCTTCGGGAGAGTACTCTACCCAGACGACAACCGCAAAAGCTGGCAGTACTTTCGATGGGTTTTCTATGCACAAACGTTTACACTCAGTGTTAAGGGTCCACGTTATGGATATCGAAACCCATTGTGGGGTTCAAAGGAACCGGTGTTACTTTGTGCTTGAACTAGCCCACCATCAGCTTCTCCTAGGCTTCATACCAATGAAGAGAACATGAGACCCTTCCTTTTGCCGAAGAGGTGCCCCCTTCCTGTGGCTAGGAAGGGAAGCACCTCCGAACGAAGAAGCGGGTCAAGATTAAATGAGTCGTGGCTCAAGACTAACAACGATTGGTAGATTATAAATCAAAGAAAGCTCGGTATCTCGAGAATAGCCGATCCTGAAGCTCTGCAAACATGTAATGCGTGCTTCGAAAGTGGGAAAATGCAACTCTAGAAATAAGGACGCAGAGCGATCATGTGAACAGCTTCTGGTTAAGCGAGATAGCCGGCTCCGGTGATGTCATGAGAAAGAAAACAATTCTGAGGGAAAACCGTTCATTTAGAGCAGGCAGGTGCGAGGAGCTTCTAAAGATTTATGGAACGCTATCGGATAAAGGAGAGATAAGATCGAGTAAAAGAAGGGGCCTAGACTCACTCTTTGGCGAGAATCAGCGCTTACGGAAGAACAAATGAGCCACATTATTTTCATACAATTTGAGCTCGGGGGAAAATGACGACGAACCTTTCGTGGTCAAAAATCATTTATGGGAACTA